CTGGAATGTTATAGAATTTGTTAAAGAAATAAAAACATTTTTTAAATTAAAGGCTTAATTGCTCTCGATCCCTAGATATATAGCAATCCTAGGTGTATGTTACGTTTGTATGTAAGTATATACTGTGCTTGGTTTTTTGTTGTGTTTAGATAAATTGATTAACATAGCTATAAAGTATCATAAATTTTCCTCCTTTCTCTTTCCCCTCTCTCTTTCTGCCCTCTAGATTTAGACTTTCTTGTACCGAAGCCTGGATTCTTCTGTCCAATTTGTTCCCTCTTCTACTCAGGTGAAAGAGCAATGACAAATCACTGCAAGAGTACACGTCATAAGCAAAATACAGAGGTAAATTTCTAACTCCCCATAAAATTTTCAGGTGATGGCATTATATTCAAACTACTTAAGTGTCCACACAAAATGTACATTCTTTCCCTTTAGGTAGGAAGACTTCTGAAGGTGTGCGCCAGTTGATTTCTCTTATTCTCCTATTCTTCTCCTTTATTGTTTCTTGCCAATAACTTCTAGTCTTTCTTTCCCTGGCAGCATTTGCCTGAGTGGATTCTGCAGATCACTAGTCCAATGTGACACTTCATTCATTAAGTGTAGGAAGTTGTATTCTGAGGCGCTCTTGCAGAGTCATCGTCACACAGCATGTTCAAGTTTCCAAATTGTCTAGTTAGGAAGAACTGCTTACCTATTTATTTAGCCCATTTTTTAACCTGATTTAATCATAGCCCCTCCCTTTTCCCCAAGTTATACACACCTTCAGGGAGTGCTATAGAGAATTATCATCAGCCATAGCTCTAGTTTCTCCTGTTTGAAACAGAGTTGTTTTTATGCATTTTCCATATTGAATTTGTGGCACAGACATTCACCTAACATTTATTAAGTTCTTACTTGCTGGAAACTTATTTAATCCACCCTGATCAACTTTATGAGGTAGGTGTTATCATTCCATTTTAAAGATGAGGAAATAGTCTCAAAGAGTACCTAAACACAAGTATCTCACCCCAAGGTCATATAGCTAGTTAATGGAAGACCTATGATTTGAACCTAGCTTTGTTCTAGTCTTAAACCCTGAATTGCTGTGTTATAGGTTTTTGTGGGTTTTTTTGTTGTTTTTTAGCTCTTTGTTTATTTTTCATACACAAAAAGCCTGTTGCTGCCTTTGTACCTTTACATTGCTGTTCCTTTGCCCTCTCCTACTCCCACTTGTATTGCTGGTTGTTCCTTGTCTTTAAGGCTTCTACTTAAATATCAGTTTCCAGAAAGGCTTTTGCCCAAGAAAGAACAAGCTAAAGTAGAATCTTCTCTCCTCTACAAAAGAATCAACCTTAATCAATTACCTTACTATTTTTTCCTTTATAGGGCTTACCACTATCCAAAATTATTTATTTTTTATTGTCTCTCTTCCTCCACTAGAATGTAAGCTCTGTGTGAGGTAAAGGGCCTTACCTATTTTTCAACCACCCTTAGCACAAAGCATAATCCCTGGTAATCGTTAATATCAGATAACTGATGAATGGAAGGAAGGAATGTTAATGTAAGGCACTGTGTTTCAAATCTTTACTTTATAGGATCAGGCTCTTTTAAATTGTAAATACAGTGAAATAGATTAGATTTGTATGTATGCACAGCAAAACAACATCTAATAAATATTGTATATTACAAATTGATTTTAACAGAAGTTCATGGCCAAGCAAAGAAAGGAAAAGGAGCAGAATGAGGTTGAAGAAAGAAGCTCAAGCTCTAGGTGATTGGGGAAAAATTTGTTAGAAATTTGTTTAGGGTCCAGTTGATTTGTGTATTTTTGTTATCACTAATTTGTAATTTTTGTTTCAGAAGCAAATATTCATGTTGTATAAATTTCTGATTGTCCTTGATGTAGAGAGACTGATGGGGAAAGTATGATGTGTTTGATTTTTATATCAAATCATCAGGCATGGAGAAATATCTTTTAGAAGTGTTAAAATAAATGTTCCTACTGTATATTTAAAATACCATCTTGTGTTTGTGTCTGATTTATTAAAGACTTGTTTACATGTGATTGCAGACAGGCTTCTTCTCTGTGACCACTATGGCTTGGGATTTTGGGGAATTCTTCATGTGTTAAAACCTTTCTCCAAGTATCTATGTACAGGTCAAAGATTTCTTAAAACTCCCAATTTTGCTGGCTAAAATTAGTTTGCAGCATGTTGGCCCAGGTAGGTTTGAGTAAAATTCTACTTGATTTTTCTAATGTGTTAGGAAGATATTTGTTCTGCTTCTGGATCTATCTACTATTTCTTTCACACCCACTTAAGGTAGCTCCTTGCAAGTAATTTAATATTAGCCTGAATCCACAAAGACAAAGCAGCCTTTACTTCTTTGCACCACTAGGATCACTTTTTAAACATTTGAATTATTACTGAATAGGTGTGTAAGAAATTATAAGGGTATAAAAAATAATAATACAGTGGGTTGTTAAATGCTGGATACAGCCCAATACTATAAATTTTAGAATAGACCATGCTTAAAAAATAAGCCTGCTGACTTTGAATTATTTTAGTACCTGATTTTTTAGCTCCTCCAAGAGTACACCAATTAATAATAGAGGGTGAGTGAAGGGAACAGATACTACATTTTTAGGTTTCTTTTTCATCATAGCACAAGAGTTGCCTCACAGTCTACAAGAGTGGAGTGAAGTTGCTTACATTATAAAAGATAAGAGTTCAAATCAATTTATAACTCAAGAAACTGGAAGAAGAATAGTAAAACCCAAAGCAACCAGAAGGATGAAAATGATAAAAGCAGAAATCATTGGAATTGAAAAGAGGAAAATGAGATGGAAAAAATTAATGAAATATAAAGGTAGTCCCTTAAATCAATAAAATTGATAAACCTCTAGTACGGTTAACAAAAAGATACAAATTGTTAATATCCAGAATGAAATGGAATACTACAACAAATTCTGCAGTGATTAAAAGAATAAAGAAATATTCACAACTCTGCTCAAAATCACCAATTTAGAAGAAATGGACAAATTTCTTAAAAATTACAAACCACAAAAACTAAGCCAAGATGAAGTAGAGAATCTGAATAAACCTGAATAATTGCAAGTTGAATTTATAATTAATTTCAAAAAAAGATACCTCCAAACCCATACTATTTTTCTGGAGAATTTACAAAGCAAAGAATTTATACAGTCTCGCCCAGAAAATTGAAGAGAGATTACTTCTCAACTCATTTTATGAGGGATTGATTCCAGATCTACAAGGCTGGTTCAATATTGGAAACCCAATCGATATAATCTACCATATGATATCAAAATTCAGAAAAAAGGGGCATTTGACAAAATTCAACACCCATTTGTGATAAAAACAAAAACTCATCAATACACTAAAAATAGAGTCCTCAGTCTCATAAAGAGGTTCTACAAAAAATAAAAATCTACAGCCAGTATCATACTTAATTTTGAAAGACAATGCTTTTCCTTTGAGATCAGTAACAATGAAAGTATGTCCACTTTTACCACTGCTATTCAACATAGTACTACAAGTTCTAACCATTGCTAGAAAAAAGAAAAGACACATATTAGACACATGTCTCTATTTGCAGGTAACATGACTGTCTACATAGAAAACTCCCAAGAACTAATAAATGGCTTCAGTGAGATACAAGATTAACACAAAAGTCAATTGTATTTTCTATATACTAACAACAAGCAAGTAGAAACCAAACTTTAAAAATTTGGACATGCAAAAGAATGAAATTAGACTACTAATTTACATCATATACAAGAATAAACTCAAAATGGATAAAAGACTTAAGTGTAAGTCACAAAACCGTAAAAATTTTAGAAGAAACCACAGGTAGTAAAATCCCAGACATTTCACTTAGTGACATCTCGGGCAAGAGTAACAAAGAAAATAAACAAATTGGACTACATCAAACTAAAAGCTTCCATACAGCAAGAATCCAACAAAATGAAAAGGGAACCCACTGTATGGGAGAACATACCTGCCAATAGTACATTAGATAAGGGGTTAATTTCCAAAATAACATACAACTCAATGCGAGGAAAACGATCATTTAAAAATATAGGCAAAGAACCTGAATTGACACTTCTCCAAAGAAGACATACAGATGGTCAATAGACGTAAGAAAATGCTCAATATCACTAACCATCAGAAAAATGCAAAGTAAGACAAGAGATTATATGCAATGGAATGATTGGTCTCAATTACCAGGAGGAACTTGAATTGCACCTCAGTTTGTTACACCCAGCATAAAATATAATGGGAGGGTTAAACTTGAATTGCTTCTACACATATAGAAGGACTATATTTGTAACCCAGAAGATTCATGAGAGTGCTCCTTACAACTCTTGCCCAGTAGTTCTCTTCAATGGAAAACTACGGCAATTTGGTAAAGACAAGACCAGCATAGACTCAAAATCTACCCAGCCTTTATGCTGGCAGAGGGTAGGAGGAAGCTGGAATGAGTAATAGAAAAATTCAACTGTGATTATCAACAAAGGCCTTGTTACCAGATACAGACGTTGGGACTACAGCAAGCATTTGGTATGATTTTAACCCTCCCATTATATTTTATGTAACAAACTGAGGTGCTCTGACAAGTACCCAATTGTAAAACTAAGAGATTTGAATATGAATAAA